GGTCACCGTATGCCCGGCTTGCACGGCTCCGCAAGATTTAGAAGCTTTCAGATTAAACGTTAGAAAGCCGTCATTATTTAAATCTTCCGGGTTGTATTATTTTGTTACTATACAAAGTTAGTTGTTATATATATCTATGTAATTACTTATACAAATTACCCGATAAAGATATAAGCAAGGCCTCACCTTAACACCAAAAAAAAAAAAAAATTAATTAATTTATATATCAATTAGACTCTTAAACTTTATAATAATAAATTATTAAGTAATTGATCAATATATAATTAGATTTGTTTTTTTTTTATTGTTGTTTCTTTCAAACTTTTTAAAAATTACAGAAAATGGATAACAATAATGCTGCTTTATTATTTCAATTATTAACAAATCCAAGTGCTTTACAACAAACACTTGCAACTATTACACAAAGTCAGCAACAAAGTTTATTTATACCCAAAACTACTTTGCTAGTACTATCTAATGCTATTATTAGAATTATTAATACATTGGCAAGTATTTATTATTATATTAAATATAATTTATATAATAATACTAATTTTAAATAATTTAGATCTCACGTGAATCCACTCAAAACCCAATCACCAAAAAGAAATAGAGATAATAAAAAAAAAACAAAGAAGCAAAGATTTTCTTAATTTAATATATGATACATATTGGTTCTATAAAGTAAGTATTTTATTAATCTTTAGTTTTATATCTATATTTTTATTTATTTTTATTCTTATAAATATTAAAAACATTAATAAATTTACAGAGAAATCTTTGTGATTAGTTAAATGCATGCTGTCAAAAAGAAAAATATGCATCAGAACAAGAACAGTGAATTGTTCAAAAAGTTATCGAGAAAGTAATATTATTATATATATATTTATTTTATTTAAAAAATTTTTTTATAAAATTTTAGTATTATTTAGTTTATATCAGACTTTCTGACCTTTTCTGTTTCTGTGGATGATTTTATTTTGCAAAAGCACTCAGAGAATATTCTAGAAAACTGGGTAAAAATATCTATTTTTTTATTTAACTTTTTTAATAAGTAATAATATATGCAAATCCATCCTTTTTGATTTACGAGGTCCATTTTTTTTGATTCATCAGGTGATCAACAAAAAAAGGCCATTTTTTTATAAGCGTATGCCAATCTTCACGTGATACAATGATGCATATCGATATTACATAAACTTACACATTCGATTTTATTGTTGTTGACCAATCAAATTATTAGATCGAACTTTAATCAATTGTAGTATAAAAGAAAAAAAAAACATTTTTTTTCCAATGAAAATAAGAAAAAAAAAAACCTTTCATATAAAGAAATATAAGCAGCAGTTTGTTGAGAAGGTGTCATGGAGATTGAGGAGTTGGAGGTTAAGGTGTTGTGTGGTTGTAGGTGTTGTAACCAGATGTGTTGAGAAGAGATAGAAAGGTGTCATTAGCACATTGTTTTAAAATAAAAAAAGGCACCGCCAGTGTAATAAATTGAATTAAATTAAAAAAAAAGTATCATTAGTAATTTACTTAAAGCTATGTGCATTTAATAAGAGAAATCTTGAAACTTACAAATATTTTGCTATAGGCCAGACGAAATAAAAGGTGCTGTCGGTTCATTAGATTAAATAAATAAATAAAAAAGGGATCGTTAGTAATATACTTAAAGCTATGTGCGTTAAATCAGAGAAAACTGAAACTTACCAATACTCTTTTATAGAGAAAACAAAATAAAAGGTACTACCAGTGTATTGAATTAAATAAAAAAAAAAATAAAGGTATTGTAATCTGCTTAAAGCTATGTGTATTAAATTAGAGAATTCTGAAACTTACTAATACTCTTTTATAGAGAAGATGAAATAAAAGGTGCTACCAGTGTGTTAAATTAAATAAATAAATAAAGAAAGGTATTGTTTGTAATATACTTAAAAGCTATATGCATTAAATCAGAGAAATCTGAAACTTACCAATACTTAGTTATAGAGAAGATGAAATAAAAGGTGCTATCAGTGTGTTAAATTAAATAAATAAATAAAAAAAGGTATCGTTTGTAATCTGCTTAAAGCTATGTGTATTAAATTAGAGAATTCTGAAACTTACCAATACTCTTTTATAAGGAAGACGAAATAAAAGGTACTTACTACCAGTGCATTAAATTAAATTCAGAAGAATTCTTTTTTTAATTGTATACAATTTTACAATTTTACTTGAAATAGTATGTTATTAGTTTAACATTGTATATTAATTAATAAAACACAAAATCAAATACAATAAATTGCTTGTTTATTGCATATATGCCTATTTATTACATATATAATATATTTATTTTTTGCATATTCATCAATTACAAAGCCAATTCTTTAATCTAATACTGCTAAAGACTTAGTTTTGTTCTTTTTACGATCAAACCAGCTAATTAACTTGGTTGTATTAGCAATATCATCGTCATCAAGGCGGATACTTCAAGATTGACATACTTTAACAAATTCCTTTTGATTCCAGTTAATTTCTTGTTCATTGAAAAGATCCTTTAGAGCAAAATTTTTGATTTTTCTTCTTTGAGATGGTGGAACATTTTTACCACTCTTTTCATTCAAATTTGACTGAAAGAAGATAATTAACAATAAAATATTTTTCATATTACTATATATTAAATTTACTTACATCTTTACACTTATTATTTTGTATTCTTTTGGATTGACATTTTTCAATAGAATACGGAATATTCTTGTTCTCTACAATCGGGACCAATGGCTTAGCTATTTAATGGTAAGTTAATATATAATCTAGACTTTATTACTTCAAATATACAATAAATAAACTATGCTTACATTATTTGATTTGGGCTGATTAAATCAAAGTTCTGAACTATCAGTATTTTGTGCAATTATTGTTTCTTGATCGTGATAATCACAGATTGAAATATGCAGATTGCTTGAATTATCGTGATTGATTTAATTATTATTTAGAGTAAATAAATCAATATTCTCATTTAGTGAATGCGCCATACTATTTAAATGCTGTAAAATAAATTTAAAATTATCAATTAGAAAGATATTGATTAATTTAATTTAAAAAAATATTACATATTGCACAGAATAAAGTTATACATACGACTTGTCTATTTACTTCATTTCCAGTAGTCTTTTGATCTTCTACTCCAATATTATGTCTATTATCAAATTTGTGAGGCATTACACTATTAATTATTGAAGTAGTATGCCTTGTCTTCGGGAGCTCACTTGGCCTAAACGGATCGTTTTCAATAATTTGCTTTTTAGTTGAAAAAAAAATAGCATCTCTCTTGGCTTTATGCTGATATAAAATCTCTGCATAAGCTTTTTCATCAGAGCCAGTATATATTATTTTATTTTTGATATTAGACGCTATTACTCGTTCCTTATTTCAAAAATATTGAATAAGTTCTCTTTTTATTTGATCAATTGAATTTTCATTTGCCTTTATAGATACATAGATACATGCTGCATGTCCATGTTTACAACAATCATGAAATGATCCATGCCAAATGAAATCAAGACAGGTACATTTGCCTGTAATATAATTAACTAGATAATAATCAGGAAGTATTGGAACCATGTGCTTTTCTGCAAGCTTTTTAATTATCTTAGATACTCCTTAAGCTTCGCTATCTTCAAACCTGATCTTATCTGCCGTATACAGAGATTGAAAAGTATTTTGCTTGTAATTATTCATACACACATATAAAAAGTCTGGGTTGTCTAAAACTTCAAGAATGTTATTCTGTAATACTTTCAATTTTCTCTGATTTATACGACATACTATATCAGATTGCAATCTGCATAGCCCATTTTGGTGCTTAATAGTGCATGAATTCCAGTATGTAACAAGCCCTGTACTAAAAACCAACTGACCACAATTCTTCGTAAAGTTTGAGCGAGAAACCCTGATACTATAAAGACGTTTGATGAAAGTCAACACCGTTTGGGTACCTGAATATCTTTCTTCAAAAGTTTTATTTATCCTTTTAGTAAAATTATTAGTAGTCCATGGCTTTGCGTAAGGTCTATCTTCTTGACTAGGTAAGTATCTGCCATTAATGAAACCAAGAATCCACTCTTTACAGAGCCAATTTTCCTCAAGATCATATATAAAAAATGCTTTTGCTTGGGTGGAAATTGGAAGTAAATTTATAAAATTTTTATATTCGATCGCTATTTTTTTGGCTTCGGTTACACTTCTGCATCTGCCAATAATTTTGAATACTAATGCTATCGAATTTAGCAGATAATGGTTTAGCTATTTATTTTTTTTTTTGGTAATTTAAAGTATATATACGTTGAAATGGCAAATGCATTAAGTAATCAATATCCCATTATTTTAATTCCAAGTGACAATATTGTAAGAATTTTCTATTTTTAAACTTAAGTTAATCTATTGACGTCATTATAAAAAATCAATACAATTAAATGCTTCAATAATCAATAATGTAAACTTAATAAAATTAAAAAAAAGGAAGCAAATATAGCCCAGCAAAGCGAAGATAATCAAAAATCTATAAGCAAATTTTTTAAAGCAACAAAAAGAAATATAATAGTTTTTTATTTTAGTTTTTAAATTTTGTCTATGCTAACTTAAAGCTAAATTTCTTTAGCAAGCTGTGGATTTTCAAAAAAATATCCACAAGGATCAAGTAATTAAATATTTTTATAGTATTTTGACATTATCAGATATTTAATTATTAAGTTTTAAAACTTAGCAAGGAAACTCATCACAAATTGATAACTCCGAGGATGAAATTATTGATGATAATAGTGAATCATCGAAAGTTAATGAACAACTATCTGAAATTCAAGTAGAAACTATTGATCAACAGATATAAATTGTTCTTTCAAAAATTTAATATTTGAATACTTCTAACTTAGCACAAAATTTAAGGAATAGTCTGATAATTTGCTGTCTCTGGAAAAGAACAGTAAACTTTTATGTATTAAGAAATTGGTAAGAAATTTTGATTAAGTTTATAAAATTATTCTTCATATTTACAAGAAATTTCTTTTTTAAAGAAATCAAAAAAAAGAAAGCGGAAGATCAAAATAAATAATTCACATAAAAAAAAGGAATAACACAAATACAGTACACCTCCTCATCTGAAGCTAATTCCAATAGTATATGAACTGTTATTTTTCAAATTTAGCACAGTTAAAATTATTAAATTAATATATCTTCCATTAACTAGAAGATAAATCAACATCATCGAATACGAATTATGTAACCAAAGAAGTGCAAATAAGCAGTAAGTTATCGTAAAAATAATTTATTTGATAGTTTAAAGTTAATGCTTTTAAATAAATTTCATAAGTAACATTAATGAAATTGAAAAAAATAAAGCATGCCTCTTAATTAAGATTATACAAAAAAATAAATTAACAGTATATAGCAATAAACTTTTTTTAAAGAACAGATCAATAGAAGATCTTCTGATCACAAATTTTAGTCTTCTTTTTAATGATATCAATGCTATTAATTTTTCTTTCCCACCATTACCTTCTTATTTGCTCAATATGGAATTATTGGAGAATTATTTTAAAGAATGGGCTTCACAGTATGGTTAATTTAAGTCTACAAAGATGGAAGTTGAAGAAAAATTGCTAAAATTGTTGTATAAGCTTAGGGCGCATACTTAACATTGCTCATAATGCTGGTAGAATTGTATGAACAAGATAAGAATAGGTATCTAACTCACAAATCCCTGGGTGGTTTTGTGAAAGAAAAGGTCAAATCAATTTTAAGAATTAGTAAAAAGCATGAACAAAAATATTGAGTAGAAACATGGATGCTTATTGAATTACTCAATATAACACATTGCCCAGCATCTATTCTTGTAGAATTAGGCCTCACTAAAAGATATTTGATAAGAGAAACAAATTATGACCAATTTCTAAAAAGTTTCCTAAATAATGTTGAGGCTAACCATGAAGCCTCCAAGTTTGGCAAATCTTTGATATTAAGGTTAGTGTTATAATTATATAATATTGTGACTATGTTTAACTAGATATCTGTAAGCATTAACTTATAAATATTTTTTAATAAAGAATTAGAAAAAAGAATCCTATTTTTTAGATTAATATTTGGAGATGAATGGCTCAAAATATTATATATTTTTTTTATAGATGTTATCTAAAATCGTGAATGAAAATTAGGTGGCTATTAAAATATAATTAAAAATTATCATATTACATTTTAATTATAATAATAAATATTTGTAATTGTTGGTTAAAATAAAATAAAATTGAATTATTTTAACAACCGAGAAATGTTAGAAGTAAGCATTTATCAAATCTATTATAGTCAAGCTTTTACATAATTATACTCTATTATATATTGTATGTTTTCTTTAAACAAATTTCAATTTTTGTCCCAAGTGTGAAAAATAATACTAAATGCACACTTCTTAAGCTTTAGAATTTTACGTTAAATTTATAATAATCTAAAATTTAGAATAGAAATAATACAAAATAATATTAATCTAGATTTACTTATATATCATACAGTAATAATTCATATAATATTACTAATATTTTCTGAAAATATTTAAGTGAACTAATATTAGTATTAAGATTAATTAGCATTGAAATAGTGATTGGAATAGTCCAATCACTATGTTAAAACACTAATATTCGAATTATTTATTTTTAATACATACAGTAGATACAGATCTTGAATATTATACACAAAATAAGTAAAGTTTATCAAGTAGATTAATATTTAATAGTTATCAGTTGAGTCTTTAGCAGATGAATATCGAAGCTAGTTTTATTATTTAATATCCAAAAGAAAGAATAAGTTCTAAGCTTTCTTTTATATATCAAATCATCAAAATAGTTTTAGAATTCATCGAGGTATGATTTTTAAAACAGCAACTAAAATAATACTATACAATGTGAATTACTATATTGGTCAAGTTTTTTTATTGGTCTCTGATCTGATTGATGAAAATCAAAACAACGTAAATTACCATATTGGTCAAATAAATTATAAAATTTTCTATTGGTCAGATTTATGAAATCAAACCAATATAAATTAACATGTACCAACTTGATTTTTTAAGTTTTAGAGTCAGGGCTAGTATAATGTTAAGGTAAAAGTATAGATAAGTGCAAGTAGGGTTAGAATAATAGTAAAAGCTTTTATTATCATGCTTTATATAATACAAATAAGTAATTCAATAATTTTATTATGTTTTAGAAACTTGATAAAATATTATTTTATTATCTATTAATAATATTTATTTATTTTACAAATATGATTGATAATTTACTTGATAATTCCTGTAATAATTTTGTAACATGAATCTTTGTTAATAAGATATTAAAAATAACAAAATATGGGATCTTTGCTAGATAAATGACCCTTCAAGGCTATGTGAATTTTATATAGTTTGAAATTTGTATGAATTTTAATATACTTAATATTACTAAAAATTGATTTTTTTTTTCTTTAATATCTAAAATTTATTCGTGAACAACTTTATTACTACAAAATTGACTTTGCGGAAACCTTTGATTTTGCTAAATATATTTATTATATAATAATTATATAATTATTATATTTTTAAAATATTATTTTTAAAAAATATATTAAATATATTATAAAAATATATTAAATATATGGGGTTGAGTCAATAGAAACCAAGCAAATATTTTTTAATTAGTTTTTTTAAAATTTTAAACAAGAATAACT